AGTCGGTAACTACGAGTCAAGTCGTGACCGATGAATTGGGATCCCTACCAAAGCGCCATGGTGCTGCCCCTTCAAGTGCCCTGTGCGAGCCGCCTGCGCCCCTATCTGGTGTAGGCCGGGGCTCGGGACAAGTAGTGCCACTCACCATTTTTCAAAGCACTACCTTACTAAGTGAGACTGGATAACACTGGGAAAACGTACCTGCTCCACTTGGAACAGGGACGCTGCGGAAGCCCCATCCTTCCCGAAGGAGGTTTCGGAAGCAAATACACATATAGCATCCGTTTAGGTGTATATGGAGAAATGGAGGTGATTGTAACCCTCTTGGAAAGGCAGGAGTCTGCCGGGGAAACACGGGCTCTATGGCTATACCGTGGGGTATACACATACGAGAACCGCTTAGGTCTCAATATGGAACCCAGCTTTCCACGGTTCCCGCGGATTCATCGTGAAGGCCCGGCGCCAGACGTTCCGCCGCGTCCGCTGCCGAGGGTGACGGAGGATCTCAACAGGGTCTACTGTAAGACACTCTGGAGCAGTTTTAGCAAGCCGACACTAACCGGGGCCTCTCGGCGCCACTACCCGTTTGAGGTGAGAACACAGGAGGATACCGGCTCCACACGGAGGCTATAGAATCTAGCGAACGTGTTGGGGGTCGCCCAGCCCGCAGCCCTTAGATAGACCTTCCACTGGAGATCCATGTGGACAAACGAGATTTACCAAGATCTTCCTGAGGAACGCTGTTCCTTTATCATTCTCACTGTATGACCATTTAGTTCACACATTTACAGACACAGATCTTCTGTGACCCTTGTGTTCTGATTTCATATAGACCCAGTTCTCTTATTTCATCACTCTACTTCACTTTAGCAGGAGCGCCGAGTGTGATGCTTGAATATGATTGAATACATGAGTCTACTTACGAGTGAGCGGGGAAGGAAGTGAATGGATGAGATATCATTCGTAGTCTGTGTGATTTGTCTCAACATAATAAAGTTTGAATGCATTTAAATGTGAAGTGTGAACAGGACCACAGTTTCAGTTGATTGCATCTGAGACACAATCACAATTCAGTGCATCTGACTATCAATAACGTTTCGGTTACGTATGGTAACCCTCGTTCCCTGAAGGAGGGAACGGAGACGTCACGTCGTGACCGACGAATTGATATATCGCTTTGATAGACCAATCTACTTCGAGTGTAAACTAAATGAGCCAATGCACATTGGCATGCAATTATTGCATCCAGCTGCTGCTGATCACAGCGTGAGTATAATAAGGCAGCAGGTCCAATGCATACCAGGTTTTTGCTGAGAATCCGAGCAGGCGACCCGGCCGCTCAGCGGTGGTACAGCAACCGTGGCGACGGGACGTGACGTCTCCATTCCCTCCTTCAGGGAACGAGGGTTACCATACGTAACCGAGACGTTCCCTTTCAGTCGGTAACTACGAGTCAAGTCGTGACCGATGAATTGGGATCCCTACCAAAGCGCCATGGTGCTGCCCCTTCAAGTGCCCTGTGCGAGCCGCCTGCGCCCCTATCTGGTGTAGGCCGGGTCCGTTTAGGTGTATATGGAGAAATGGAGGTGATTGTAACCCTCTTGGAAAGGCAGGAGTCTGCCGGGGAAACACGGGCTCTATGGCTATACCGTGGGGTATACACATACGAGAACCGCTTAGGTCTCAATATGGAACCCAGCTTTCCACGGTTCCCGCGGATTCATCGTGAAGGCCCGGCGCCAGACGTTCCGCCGCGTCCGCTGCCGAGGGTGACGGAGGATCTCAACAGGGTCTACTGTAAGACACTCTGGAGCAGTTTTAGCAAGCCGACACTAACCGGGGCCTCTCGGCGCCACTACCCAACACTAGCTCGGGGAACCAGGTCTGAGTGGGCCAATACGGCACAACTAGCAAGACTTGCTCCTCGTCCTCCAGGATTTTGCACAGTGTCTGTGCGAGAAGGCTCACTGGGGGAAATGCATACTTGCGTTGGCCCTGCCGCCAGCTGTGTGCTAGTGCGTCTGTGCCGAGTGTTCCCTCGGTCGGGGAGTAAAACAACTGGCAGTGAGAGGTTTCTGGAGAAGCAAACAGGTCTACCTGAGCAGCTCCGAAACGTCTCCAAATCAGCTGGACCATCTGGGGATGGAGTCGCCATTCTCCCGGGAGCATTGCTCGAGACAGCTCGTCGGCTGTACGGTTGAGCAGGCCCGGAATGTGAACAGCACGAAGTGACCTCAGAACCTTCCGACTCCAAAGGAAGAGGTGGCGGGCGAGTTGCGACATGCGACGGGAGCGCAGACCACCCTGTCAGTTGATGCACGCAACGGTCGCTGTGTTATCCGTTCGGACCAGTACGTGCTTGCCTCGTAAGCGCCCTTTGAGACGGTTCAAGGCCAGGCGCACTGCTAACAACTCTAGGCAATTGATGTGCCAATGCAGCTGCGGGCCCGTCCAAACCCCTGAGACTGCATGCCCGTTGTACGTGGCACCCCACCCGGTGGTGGAGGCATCCGTGTAGACCACAGCATGCCTGGAGATCTGCTCTAGGGGCACCCCTGCCCGGAGGAACGCAAGATCTGACCACGGGGTGAAGGTTTGGCGACAGGCCGGTGTAACTTGGACCCGGTGAGTGCCGCGCTTCCACGCCCACCTCGGGACTCGGCCATAAAGCCAGTGCTGGAGCGGTCTCATATGTAACAGGACGAGCGGTGTAAATGCCGCTGTGGCCGCCATATGCCCCAGGAGCCTCTGAACTGTTTCAGTGGGACCGCCATCCTGCTCTTACCGAGTCCCCTCCATACCGGGAAAAGAGATCCTCTGTGTCGGGGAGAGTTTGGTCTTTTCCCAGTTGACCCGAAGGCCGAACAGGCTGAGGTGCCGAAGCGCCAGGTCCCTGTGCTCTCACAACTGATCCTGAGACTGTGCTAGTATAAGCCAATTGTCTAAATAGTTGAGAACGCGAACCCCCTGCTCTCTGAGGGGAACAAGAGCTGCCTCCGCGACCTTCGTAAAGACACGGGGAGACAGGGACAGCCCGAAGGGCAGGACCTTGTACTGATATGCCCGTCCTTCGAACGCAAACCAAAGAAATGTTCTGTGGCGTGGAAGGATCGACACATGAAAGTACGCGTCCTTCAGGTCGATCGCTGCAAAGCAATCTCGGGGACGGACGCACCCGAAGATGCGTTTCTGCGTCAACATGGGGGTGGCCCACCCACGCCCGGCTCCACGACGCCGCTTTGCTGAAGGCTGCTGCGGATGTGGTGCGGGAGTGGGGGTGAACGCGGGGGCGAACGCGGGGGCCCGCCCTCGGCGATGAACAGGCTGGGGCGCTGCAGCCGGTGGACGGATGGAGGCAGCAGCTGGCCGCCGGGGCAGGATGTGTCGGATCGCCTCAGTCTGCTTCTGGGCAGCCGAGAACTGCTGGGCAAAGCTCTTGACTGCATCGCCGAAGAGGCCGGTCTGGGACACAGGGGAATTGAGGAACCGAACCTTGTCGGTGTCCCTCATGTCTGCCAGACACAGCCAGAGATGGCGCTCCTGGACCACAAGCGTGGACATCGCACGACCCAGAGAACTCGCTGTGACCTTTGTTGCTCGGAGTGCGAGGTCAGTGGCGATTCGGAGCTCTTTCAGAACTTCCGGATCGTGACCACCCTCGTGCAGGTCCTTCAGTGCCTTAGCCTGGTGCACCTGCAGTAACGCCATAGCGTGTAAGGCGGAAGCAGCTTCCCCACAAGCCGTATAGGCACTGCAGGTTAGACCAGACGAATGCCTACAGGCCCG